ATCGAACTCATGTGGAAGTGGCTTTAGCTTCTCATTGTAGTGCTTTAACCCGCTGCGCCACCAGGGAGGGCCCGATATAAATAAAGTTTTATTGGGACACAGCTATGGTCATTCTTTTGCTTATGGTCTAATTTGCTTATGGGTGATTTTTACAGATATCACATATCCCACAGAATCTAAATTATTTACTATTTCGCCTTTTACAGAAAGAATTTACTGATCCCTGTGAGAGAAAGTGACAGGAAATAGGGCAACAATTATATAAAGTGGTAAGGAAAGAACTCTCAGAGATGACATTTGAACTAAGAGCTGAAATATTGTATTTTGTCCCTCCCATCAGTTTATCGCTTCTTGGGGAAGGCTAGTAGCAGTAGCAACACTGTCTTGATCTTTGAACTCATATCACTTAGTCACAGTTTCTTAAATTGTTTATATTTCTTTTTTTTTTAAAGATTTATTTATTTATGCTTACAGAACTGGGGTACAGGCCAGAGATGCAGAGGGTGAGAGGATTCACCAGAGACAGAGCGAGGAGCTTAACAGGCAGATCGACGAAGTCCACTGCTGAGGGGAGCAGCGGGGGGGGTGTTTCAGGAGAGGTCTGCCACGCCATGTGGTCACCTCCGGGACAGGCGGGAATCGAACTCATGCGGAAGTGGCTTTAGCTCCTTAGTGCTGTGCTTTAACCTGCTGCTCCACAGGGAGGGCCCTACATTTCCTTTTAAATACTTGAAATTTAATACATTTTTAAAAATTCATTTAGCCACTCATGTCATGTCTTTTTAAAAGTGAGGAATTTAATCCTTGATTATGAACATAGATTTACTGTGACAGACTATTGATAATGAAATAAAGCTTAAATCTAATTTTGTACAAACTGTTGTTAACATTAGATCACAAAGAAAGACTTTGTTTAAAGCATATAATTCTACAGTAATATGTTTTGTATTCTGACAAGTTTATGGAGGAGTCCTAACCCTTAATCTGATTACTTGTATGACCCCAAGCAAGCTACTTAGCTTCTCAAGCCTCAATTTTCTCATATGTAGAATGGATAGTAATGTCAACCCCACAGAGTTGTGAGGACAGCAGCAAATAATGTGTATCTGGCACAGGACTCAGTGCAAACAAATGTTTAACAAATACTAGCTATTGATCATCCTCACAGGAGTCCTGTTTGCATGTGTGAATATTTCATGTTAATCAACTTCCAAAATATTGGGGGATATAAATTTGTTTTGAAGTATTAATAGAAAAAGAGGGAAAATTTCTAAGGTTAGTGAACTGAGGATTCATTGTCTTTGTGGGCAGTGTAAGTCATTGTTGAATCCTAGAGAATTTTCGATAGTGTGCGGCATTCCAGTGAGAGACCCAGAGGCTAAGAGAAGGAGCCTCCTAGCTCAGTCCACCCCTGTACTTCCCCTGAAATTGAGACTCACCAGTGTTAGGATGGAGCCTGGGCCTTTATGAGCTTGTTCCAAGATGTAAGTTGTTAGACAAGCAAAATTACATGCCTTAGTGAAGCCATTTTTTTTTTTTTCCAACGAGATGAGATCTTGCTGTGCAATTTGGTTCCTTTCTGAACATACCTATTACAAATTGCTTTTTGTGTCTGGCCTCCTCCTAATTAAAATAAACATTACCCCACAAAGCTGGTGACAAAAAGAAACTGAGAATAGCAAGGACATGAAGGAAGAGAATGAGTGATCCATGCTAACCCCCTTAGTGATTAATTACAGCCCCTAAATGACCATTAAATATAATTTTTTTGGGGTACACACAACAAAGCATTCCATGTATTGCTGACGTAGGCTCAAATTACTGCAGTCTCCAGGCCATCAGGTGGGGTTCAAACAAGGTGCCAGAATGTTCTTTCTGTTCTTCTGTGACTAACTGTGGCAAGGAAAGGAAGGGAAATGTGCTTTCGTCCAGCTGCCTACCCTTCTTTCATCACTGACTTCTGGCAGCGTGCAGAACATTGGTATAGATGCTTCCACTGCTATAAACAGCAGCAAGTCCCAGCAGTCAGCTCACTGAATTATATTCATATGATTTTAAATGATGCAAATACATTAAACTAGTGTGTGTGTCTATATGAATTGATCTGCTTAGTGTCAATACCTGGGGGAGGGTCCTGTATTTACAAAGTACCAATAATAATGCAAACTAATATTACCTCAATAAAAAGTAAATATAAGTAAGTATATAAGTGGTAAAATTAAAAAAAAAAAATAACTCCGTATGGGACAAAGGTTCCTGGATACAGATCCTATCCTGTCTTTCCAAAAAGTTTTTCATTCTACCATTTTTCCAAGTTTTATTGATTTGCTACTAGCTGAAATAAATATGTCACTATATAGTCCGATCCTGGTTCAAAGTTAGAAAAGACTATTCTAGGCCAAGAAATAAGATATGCTATATGGCAAGCAGAGTTTTTTTTTTTTTTTCATGAGTAGTTTAGTGAGATAATGTTTTAGTTCAGAATTCTGGTCTAGACCTAGCGTAGTACCTGATGGGCAATGACACATTAGCAAAGTGCCATGATTCCAACCTGTGGGAATGATATGAATATTTAGCAGGCATTGAGCTCATGGCTTGCACAGATACTGTTCAAGGCTTTAATTACCTTGCCTCATTTAATATTCCAAGAACCCATTTTAGAGATTAGGGAATGGATGCTCAGGGAAAGGAAGTGGCAGGCTCAGCTCTCCCAAATGATACTTTGAGGAGACAAGGAGTCCAACACAGTTCT